CCCCAAAACCCCAAAACCCCCAAAACCCCAAAACCCCAAAACCCCTGCAACATCCATAAAGATTGAACCAAATAAAACTAAAATTACACCTTTAGGTTGGACCCCAGCTTTCATGGGTCCTTCTACTACGACTCACGCTAGATTTCTTCTGTGAAAATACTGAATGGGATAGACAAGTAGTAGCAGTCATAAAGGGGCTAGGCTCATTACCCCTACTACGTCTCTGACTTCTAAAAACATGAGAGATAGGTGCCAGTCCTTTAGGAACCTTTGTTTTGTTGATGACTATCTTTGGGCTTTTATGTCCAGCCTGAATCTGAACATCAGTGATAATCTCAATGATCCTATTACGTAATATTCCAGCATTTATAGTAGTAACCTCTGCAAGGTCCTCCTCTGATTTGTAATGAAGGTTCTTTGCGAGATTTCCTAGTGAACAAAACTCCATATCTTCCCAGGTTTCATTCTTTCTGGCAATGTTACTCCTAGCACGAATTTTAGAAGAGTCTCAGGTGAGACTGGCCTTCAGAACATCGATCTTACTCTGCATCTTCTGGGCCAAAAGCTGTTTCTCCAGCTCCTTTTTCTTTAACAAATTAATTGCGTTATCAATAATTCTGGTGAATTTCTTCGAAGGTTTTATGTAGACCTTAGTCCTCTTTACTTTAGGCTTCGCTGGCTCTATCAATTTTATAACCTTTGCTGGCTTGGGAGTTTTCCCAATCACTTTCTCGTTGTAGTATTTTAACAAAATATTTTGCTCTTGATTAAGCCGAGAAATACTGGCTCCAGAAGTATTATTTAACGAAATTAGATCTGTATGAGACAGTCTTTTCTCCCAAGGTTTCTCTTGAGAAGAAAAATAATCTCTATTAGTATCAGAATGGTCTGAATCAGACTCTATACAGAAGGTTTCATCAGAAACAAACCTCCCATGTGTTGACATTTTATTCAATAAAAATAACTCTAAATGGGGTTTTGGGGTTTTGGGGTTTTGGGGTTTTGGGG